CACGATGGGCTAGCTAACCTAACTTCCCAGGGGGGAAGGGAATTGTTAGTAATGGGAACTAGTAACTCCCATTGCTAGCAATGTACCATGTTAGGTCGACCTCCACGCGGTTCCCCCTGGAAGCCATCGTGATAAATTCTTGGCGAATTTGTCACGATGTACTAACTGACCTGACCTCATGTTCATCTTATCAGCCTCCACTGGTGCCCCGCCAGCGTAAACCGTTAGCGCAGGCAGGTGCACCACTCCATTATCATAGGCAAAAAAAAAAAAAAACGTAACTTCCCATCCCATTCTCCACTCGTGTTTAATCACTCAATATTTGCTACATTACAGTGACGTTAAATAAATTCATATTTATTATGATGTATATAGCTAGCTAACTTTAAGAATCATTGCACAAGTACCATGGTGTATAACTAACACTGAAGTCCAGAAGTACCTTGAAATGGGAACAGTGAAAGAGGAAATTCGGAGTTCAGGAGCAGCTGTTCTTTGTATTTGGCTGCCACAAATACAAAGAACGTCTGATCCATCACCCTAACGAACTTGCTCGACAATGGAATATAACGTGAGATGACCAAAACGCCATCATATCTTGGAGCTAGAAAACCGGCAGTAGATTTGGATGAGTGGAAATTTTCCATGAGTATTACTGAACAGATTCACTCATAGTCTTAGAACTAATTGTAAATATAATTAATGGGCTGACTGAGCTGACCTCAGGCAGTGTAAATCGTTAGCGCAGACGGGTACACTAGTACATTAAAATCTACTACTTGTGCCCGCGATTTCACTCGCATGAAATTTATAGCCTATGTGTTATTCTGATGTATATAGCTTATATTACTGTAAAGTTTCATCAAAATCCGTTCAGTAGTTTTTGCCTGAAAGAGTAACAAAAATCCATCCATACTCACAAACTTTGGCCTTTATAATATTATTAAGATTATAAAAAAGATGGTAAGCATACTCTCGATATGTTACAATATATAAAATAAATACAATTCAGATAATATATTCAGCGCTGTATTTCTGTCATCACCACAAGACCTAAAGTGCTGACTCTCTAGACATAATACAATACAATACAATAAAGAGATAATACACATAAGAAAATATGCGATTTAAAGATTTCTATATTTTTATAGTCGGTTGAAAATATCGCCCCAGTGACAACCCTGCTGTGAAGCTACTTCGCTTTTTGTTGCATAAATTATTGGCTGAAATTATTCACTCCTACGAATTCGCTGGTTTAAATAAATTGGACAGTCTTCTTCTTCGCTATTTATTTATTTTATTAAGTGTGCCCTTGTTATAAGGATATTATTGTAAATTAATACAATAATAGCCTATTATATAGGATGTAATAATAGCCCCGTCCGATCGTTAAAAGTAGTGTTGAATTTACAAATATGAATGTTTACGTAAAAATGTAGAAGACTTTTGTCTGAATAAAATTCAATGAAATAGAGTGAAATAGAGAAATTACCAGGAAACAATTAGCAAAGTGTTTTTTTTTTGCCAATAGGAATAAGTCATTTACTGCGCTAAATTACACACAAGAGGTCGTAAGTTCAAACATCGGCCACTCTAAAAAAAATATTCCGAGCGACGGCGGCGCGGCGGTACGTAAAATTCAAATATACCGAACGTAATGTGGATATGTCAAGTGTTGTGTTCGTCACATCTAATCGACAATCGATAATAGCTCTGCCTACTACCACATCTGATTTCTGTGATGTTGTTAAATTTACATCGTGTTTTTTTTTCGGACTACTCTAATGCTGTTAGCCGCAGCTGGCCTTTACAGCTTCACCGGACGCCCCTATCGTCCGGTGAAGCTGTAAACGCGAGTGCAGATGGAATGCCAGAATAAATTTTATACCGAATTTATCACAGAAATATGTTATAACTTACCCTTTTAGAGAATAGTGGGGCACAAGATGGCGGCCTATGAACAGATGAAGCGGGACAAGTCGTGAGCAGGATTTCAACATGTAGAGTTAATATATAGGTTTCTGCGTCGGTGCATCTACCTCCACTTTCACTTTCAGCAGGTAAACAATTTGCTGTTCATGTTGAAGAGTAAGAGTTGGCAGTGAAATTACATAACGTGCATGACATCTTACATAGTTCTCCGGAAACAGAATGGGGACACAAGAAATATATCATGGTTGTTGTGGGCTATAAAACAAACCAGGGAATTATCGTAAGATGCATATTACATATATGTACAAAGAAAACTAGGGCCAGGAAGGAAAAATAGAAATAAGTGAAAATTTAGAATAAAATTTGATATTCGAAATTAAAGAATTAAAGAATTAAACTCATATATTGAATATAGACTATAATTGGGCTGTATTCCACAAGTGTCACACAGTAAGTCCATTCATGTCTATAGTGCTGTTCACCTATATAGGTGACCGTTACCCGTTACCATCACCTGATGATAAGTGATAACCATGGCAACTGTGAGCAAAACAATTATTCGATTATTATTCAATCATTATTCCAATTCTATCGATTATAATTGCGTCTATTCCATCAATGTAGACCTATTTATTCTAGGTACCACTTTTTGTTGTTTTTTTTTCTCTAAGCGAAAGAAGACAATCTTGATAACCTAGAAGAGATAGCAAAACTGCCTTTTGTACATCAAAATATCTTGTCAGTTTAATTATTGTATTACATGTTTGGTGCAATAAAGAATTAATAGATAATGAAATAAAATAAGGGACGTATTAATATTCATATATTATCCTTAATCCAAATTAAATAAAAATGCATTAAAAAATATGACGGATAGTTTATAGAGATTAAAAAAAGCAGGATTTCCAGCATTCGCATTCGTGCAGATAGAAATTGAGTCAACGTCGCAAAATCGAGTTAAGCTGAGGTGGATTAGGGAAGCTGTAAAAATTGGAGCTTTATAACAAATTATTAGTTAAAGATATTACAGTCTAGAGTTTTAATGACACTCTCAAAATAGATGGTTATAAGAGCAGAGGAAGGCCGAAAAAAGATGAATGAACTGTGTGAATGATGATATGACAAGAAAGAGAGCAAATAACGAGATGACTGCGCACAGAGATGAATGGAAGAGAAAATGTATTACGCCAACCACTTATCCCATTTGATAAGGAAGAAGTATGATTATAATATGATAGTCTAGTAATTACCACTCCTTTTGTGTGGAATCGAAATGTTTCTGACTGACTGTTCGGTGATGAAAACACCAATACCAATTTTGCTAGTAATGTACCATATCAGGTCTTCCTCCACGTGGTTCTCTCTGAGAACAATCGTATTTAATTTATACAGTCTTTATCACGATGTGCTAAAGACTAACCTTACGTCTGTTCATCTTATTCAGCATATACCGTTAGTGCAGGCGAATGCACCATTCCATTCTGTTAGGGAATATACTATATGTGGAAGTTTCCGTCACGTACCTGTATGCTCCTAATAGGGTTTTTTGGCTCCTTAACATGGGCATCCAGATGAGGTTTTCACTTGCTTTCACTGACTTTCGCACTCATTTTATAATTCAATTATATTACAACTAGGGAAAGTGCGCGCACGAGACAATAAAAGGAAGGGGAACAGAAACTAACGGGCCCTAATGTATGTAATAATCTGTGCTTACAACGGGTATAGGATAGACGATAAATATATTCTAAGGCGTTAAAAAAACTAAATTTTACTAAATTTTTGTATAAAATGTTCCCTAAAGCCAGCCCTGTAAATGAGAAAATCAGATAGCGTGTCTAGCCTGCTTTTTGACGTAAACAGATTTAGTCATAATTGTACAGGCAAATCCGTTTTATCATTCAGTTGTGATTGATTTAGCAAAGAATATATTTTCCTGTATTGACTGTACAGGGAATACCATAGACGATATACGTATAATTTAAAAAGATATACAAATTGGGCGACATATAATGTTACGTAGTATGATGAAGACGAAGTCGCGCACGTAAGCTAATTAGATTATAGCAGATTATACAAGTGAATAATAAATACATTAACAATTAATCATTTGCCAGACGGCCTCGGTGGTCTAACGGTTTAGCGCACCGCCTTACTTCCGATGGTCGCGGATTCGATTCCTCGCACGGCGCAAATATTTGTATTCATGAGTATGATTGTTTGTGTCGGTCTGGGTGTTTTCTATATATAATATGTATGTATTTACGAAAAAAAAATCTGTGTATTCTATTACCCATAATTATCTAGTACCCATAACACAAGCTTTAGCTAGCTTAACTTTGGACTAGATGGCGTTGTGTGATTGAGCTGAGATTAAAAAAAAATTGATTATACTAAATTATACGAGTAATAGAACTAATATAGAAGGTTATTAAACAAAATATTATACTAAATTATACGAGTAATAGAACTAATATCAAAAGTGAATTTCCAAATTTAAACAAATAAACAGGGAACAATTTAAACACGGATATTAGCAGTAATCGCTAGCAATCGAGTCAGCATTCGCTAAATCGAGTTATTGCAGCGCCGCGAGACACCCGCAAATTCAGTTGTTTTATTTTTTATTTTCATGTCTGTCGATCTTTTTAAAAATGGAATGTATTGCTCGATGGAAAATCTAATCTCTGGTTTTGAATTTGAGAATCATATTCGAATCGACGAGAAGATGGAATTGCGAAATAAGTTATGATTATAATCTTGACATTTTGACAATTTTTTGTTGTATTGTGAAAAATATGGCTTTAAATCCATACTTTGTTATAAAGTATGGATTTACAGCCATACTAATATCATAAATTAGGAATCTATTTGTCTATCCATTAGTTTGTTCCCTTTTAACGATTAAACGGCTGAACGTATTTTTATAAAATGACGAGTAAATATGAAGATACATTCTATGACTAACACGAACACAAACTGTGTTATAACTTAGATATTTAAAAAAGCAAACGAAGTCGCATGTAACATATAGTATACTTACATATATATAAATTTAGCATCTAAAATCAATACAACACTTCTAATTGCCTTCGAATTAATACAACTGTTTTATACTTCCCGCTAATGGCTTCAAAATAAAACTACTAAAAACAATCTCTCCTCATTTATAACGCATTTTGTTTATTTTTAAATTGCACAAAACTCTTCACGGCTTTGAATACATCAGCCGCATAATCTTCGGGCAATTCTAAAGCCGCAAAATGTCCACCGTAGTCCAGAGTGGTGGAGCCAATAAGATTGGTATATTTCCACTTGAGGATGAATTCTGGATGGGACACTAACTCATTTTTAAGCCGAAGAATCCATGTTGGCACTATTGTAGGTATCCTATAATAGAAATAGATAATAGTTATGTTGAGGGCCACAGTGATGTAGCGATTTAGCACGCCTTACTCCTGACGGTCGCGGGTTCGATTCCTCGCAGAGTACAAACATTTTTACTCATGAGTATGGGTATTGTCTGGATGTTTACTCTGTATGTACGCTTTACGCTTAGTTTGGTTCTAGATGACGTTGTGTGAATCGTCCTGTGTTATTATTATTAATTAGTATACATATGTGTATTAATAAATTCATCGCTGGTTATTATTAAGTGGAATTATGTATTGTTACATTAATAAAAGTATAATTATGTGTAATTAGTACGAAACAAAAACATAATTATCTGGATAACGTGATAGGATCCGCACGTAAAAGCTAGTAGTTTTCTATTCTGATTATTGACAATCTCTTTATCTTCAAGCAATAGTCCAATCTGATGAGACAAAATATCAAACTGGACTATTGTATGAAGACAAACGAATGCCAATATAATAAACATTTTACTTAAATGGTTGTATCCCTTTCAAGTGATGAGGCTGCTCCAATGAAACAGCTCTCAGACGGTATTTAAAATTATTTCCACTATTCTTTGATAAAACATCTTTGAAATAAGTTGATTTATTGATACTAATGTTATAAAGAGATATTTTTTTTTACTTTCAGAGTTTGTAGGCTGTAATCTCTGGATGTTAAAAATTCTTTTAAAATTATAAAACCCTTTTTTGAGGAACGCTATAGACTACTGTATATTATCACCCTGCGACTATCAAAAACTGCAAAAACGGGGGAAATGTAATTCGTAATGTAGCTTGTAAAAAACATTTTAGTCCTTATTAAATAGGTGGTAAACGTTATATTTGGATGAACAATTTCTGGATCTACTAAACCGATTCTAAAAATTCTTTTAGTGTTAGATAGCCCATTTATTAAGAAAGCTGTAGGATATATAACATCATGCTACAATCAATATGAGCGAGGCTACAATGAGAAACATAGCAAAAACGGGGTAATGTAACTCAGATGATGCGTGTAAAAATAATTTTAGACCTTATTTATTAGATAGTAAGTGTTCTATTTGGATGAACAAATAATTAGAATTATCAACTTACTTAGTCACAGTTTGTTCAAACTCAACATTGGCAACACTCTCCTTGTACAACCTTATTGAAGTGGTGATACAACCAGACGCCCAATACAGCATGATGTTATCTAACAATTTGGTATGGTCGTAGTACTTTGATAGACCACCGTCCTCTACGTTTTTGTTATTAGCATCGGTAAATATCATCACCCTGTCGATTATATACGCTGCAAGACCAGGCGGAGAATCCTGCAATGCTATACCTATAACGGAAATATTTATTTATTTATTAGAAAACCCACAGTTTACTATTAGATATTTATATCAGATTTTATTATAAATATCATGAACAGAATTTGTGGAAATCGGTTCACTTATTTTCTACATATATAAAACTTCATATTTCAGACACCAAATAGTAAATTGTCATCTCCTTTTTCCTGTTGTTGTTCTTTTGAATAAATGTTGAAACTGTACATTTTTAAGTTGAAAAGTCTGAATACAAACTACCAGCTAGCGCTAAAAATATTAAATACATAATACGATTAAATCAATCGTAGTAATTTTTTTTTATTTATTTACACACAAATTTATACAAAATGAAATATAAACATAAAGCAGCAAAACTGCTCAGCAGTTTGTCTGCAGCAAATAAAGAGTATGACGCATGAGCCAGCCATCATGGTTGTAGTTACACTAATACTAGTAGTAAAATAAAATACTACCTACCAATGGTATCAGGTTTGGTCGACTGCAAATGTAAATAACCAAATTCTTCTAAGAAGAATTCAACTCCATCTTTCAATGGGCATTGGACATTTTCCACAATTTTTTTCCAAACAGCTCCCAAAGCCCAAGCCACATACGCCTTATTATCAAAGTGGGCTGGCAAATTGGTGTGGTATCCAAGAACTTCATTTGGAAACAGCGTAGCTATTCCTGAACCAATACTATGACCAAAATCTCCACCTTGTATGTAGTATTTCGTAAAACCAAGCCGTTTCATTAGATTCCTCATTACTATAGAAATTTGTGTTGGACTCAAACCTGGCCTGACTGGTGCCTAAAATGTTAAATATATTATAAACCTCGATAAATATGGGATTATCTATGCAAATTCTTATGATTGTATATACATCGAAAAGTATTTAAAAAGAAATGTTTTGTTTATCTGTGTATCTGGGCGTTTTTCTTGCTAATCTCCAAAACAGCTGCACTGATTTTGACAAAAATTCCAACCCCATAAAACTAATATTATAAAGAGTAACTTAGACTACATTTATATTAGAAATTAAAAAAAAATTTAAACCTTACACAGACGAAGTCGCAGATAACAGCTAGAAAATAATAAAAAATTAAACTCACTTGTGAATAAACAAATCCAGGTAAACTGGGCACAATAACTTCAAAAACGAAATCGTATCCTTCTCTAATGTTGGTCAATAATGGGATAGCCTCATAGAACTCCCGTACAGAGCTAGGCCAACCATGTAAAAGTAACAGCGGATAAACCTGAAATATATAAACGAAATCAAGATACAGAAACAAAAATAGTTATCATTATGATTAACGACCTGTAGCACTTCGACCTACATAGATCTATTGTCATCTCATCCTTCTTTTCAAAGTATATCTAGGCCCGTCAGGGACGAATATTGAAATAATTTTTTTGAGATCAGTAAACAGTAAAAATTCGCTTCTTAAAATATAGAAGTGAGGCAATTAAAATTATATAATAAGACTATTATAATCAGACTTTCTTTATGTCACCCACACTGTTCACAGCTAGACAGCGATTACTCAATACATTGTCGTATCTATAGAAAATGCAGTATTTATATTCTTTTTAAATTAACTACTGAAAAACATGAAAAATTGAACGAAGAATCTTGTCTTTTGGACATACCTTCACGCCTTCCTTGACCTTCGGCTTCACGTGTAGAAAATGAATATCTAGGCCTTGTATATTAGTTTTAAAGTGATTAAACTGATTCAGAAACCCTACTCGTTCTTCAGGTTTGTACTGAAAGATCCAATTGGAAAAGAATTGGGCAAAAGCCTCTGAGTGTACACCGTAAGTCCATGCTGCGTCCTGGAGACTCTTCACCTTCTTTGTTTCAGCTCGATACGAATCGAATCTCATTCGTAGATCTTGTAACATCTGGAAGAAAAAGAAGTACATATTAATGTTTTATAATAGTTATAAATTGAAGGAATATAAATAACAAAAAAAATATTTCAAATAGGTAGTTTTTAATTTGAACATTCTGCTTTTGGACATTAGTGTTACCCACTCACTACAAGATCAGGCGAGAGTTGGCCTTCAGCCGCTCCATAAGTCCTTCCCGCGGGTTTAGACTGACATCTGCACTCGCTCGGTGAAGCTGTAATGGCCAGCTGCGGCCAACAGCATTAAAGTGGTCAGAAAAAAAAATAACAAGTTATGCCAAGCTGATAGAGATCTCTTTTAGTGAATGGACCACAGTGATGTGAGCACACATTGCCTATAATTAAATGTGTTACTGCATTTCAAAGTCCAATAAAGAATATATATTGAAACCTTTTTTAATATAAATTGAGTAGCGAACTCAGACTTATTATACGCAGTTGATGTGATAGGAATAATGAACTTACTCCATCACCGAAGACTACCCTGAAAGGCCTGATTTCCTTGTTCTGGTTACTTCTGGTATCATTGGGCCCCCACCAGTAGTCCAAGTCCAATTGTGGTACCTCAGGTACTGTTACTATATGTTGGTACACATGATAAGATGGATACGCTAATACCAATGCCAGTGTGGGAAGAATAAATGGTAAAATCTGAAATTAGGCAGATATAGATAGATTATATATATACATATATATAAGTAATAAAAATATAATATCTGAATAATGAACATAGCGCCATCTAGTCCCACGGTAAGCAGAGCTTGTGTTATGGGCACTAGACAACTGATATAAATACTTAGATATATTATGTAAATACATATTATACATTATATACATAGAAAACACCCAGACCGATACAAACAATCATACTCCTGAATACAAATTTTTCGAACCTGCGACCATCGGAAATAAAGCGGTGAGCTAGACCAGCGAGGCAATCAAGCTAATAGTATAAAAAAAATCGAAAAGCAGAAAATTTTACAAATATTCATATAACGCAGCGATGTCTGCTGGAATTCGGTTAAAAAGTAATTGATTTTTCATCCATCATTCACTTCAACCGATAGGTTTATTCGATTAATTTGTAATAAGTAAACAACAGCTTACTGAACATAGAAAATAACGTTATTATTATTAAATCTATAGTATACATAAAAGTGTATATAATTATTCCAATCAGAAATTAATAAAGAATGTAAAACGACTTACATTGAAACCGCTGTTTTTCTTTTTCACTGCATCCTTTTTCGTTTCCTCTTTCTTACTTATTACTTTTTTATCTTTTTTACCCATAATTATTACTGTATTTTTTTATTACCTAATATAGCACAGAGCAAATAATCATAATGCTTTACAACTGATCGGTTGATTACGATATCGTCGACTAACATTGTTATCTGCGTCCTGCAACCTTATCACAATATAATCGTGTTTTAATACTAATCTTTAGTTAAATTAATGATAAACGATTAATTATTTAATATTTATGAACGAAAATAGGGCAAAATATTTTAAACTTGTGTGTTATAATTATTATTGGTAGAAGAACAACATAAATATCACGACTGGGCTAATTTACACTTTATACACAGTGCTCTATAGAAAAGAGTGAACTCATTGCTATAAACATATTATAGGAAATTAGAAGGATAGTACGACCATTTTATTAACATTATTTATCTAATAATAATTATTATTATTATTTAAGGACAATTCACACAGCGCCATCTAGACCCAAGTTAAGCAAGTTTACTGATACATATACATAGAATTTTTTTTTGTAAATACATACATATTTTACATAGAAAACACCCAGACCGATACAAATAATCATACTCATGAATACAAATTGTTTGTGCCCTGCGAGAAATCGAACCTGCGACCATCGGTCGTAATTAATTTTTCTTTAATTCTCATTTAAATTATAAATACATATGATAATTTAAATGAGAATTAAAGAAAAAAATCACACATAATAGAATATCTAATTTAGCTATGTCACATTTATATATATTTATTTATATTACTCCAATTTAAAGACTTTTAATGAAGCGATAAAGTAACTACAAATATGATATGCTTTGAAATATTCAAATATTGAATTAACAGTGTATTGCTGATAGAATAGAATAGAATAGAATAAGAATAGAAAATCATTTATTCCAATAAACTTACATTGAAGCACTTTTGAATAGTCATATTTGATAGTTTGTATAATTACTAATTAGTGATATTTCTTAGTAAGGTGAGGTTATTTCTACTAAAAAAACAGTAAATATGTGTATAGTTTAGGATAAATATATATATTCGTCGGAAAGTATATTTATTTCGTTGAGTAGTGTATATTCATGTTTTAAGTTGTATTGTTTGTAATGCTCTGTCTTGAACATTTTGTTGGTCTTTGACATTAATAATTCACTTACTATACGTACCTGTGTACTTACTATAGTAATCATTTTATCATTATCACATAACGCTCATAATACGAAGTAGGTATAAACACGTGTACCTATAGCAACTAATTTAGGTTCATTTTAGACTACTGTGCTTACGACTTCAGTTGCGTTGTATTGGTTAATACCGTATTTTTTATGCGATTGGAATGAAACGGACACCATTACTTAGCGACCTCGGTGGTGTAGTGGTTTAGTACATAGTCTAATTTCCACATGGTCACAGGTTCGATTCTCGCATGATACAAAAAATTTTATTCATGAGTAGGTATAATTATTTGTATTAGTTGGAATAGTATCTAAACTTATTTACAAAAACAAGCAGCAAGCATACACAAACTAACAGACGAACAAACAAACCAGAAAGTATTTTTACGTCCTCTTCGTCTCTTCGTTTTTAAATGTTGAATGTCAAAACAGAAAAAATACAAACAATTTTTCTTATATACTTTAATACTTAGTATAAGCAAAATTTCAGATAATACTGTAAAAACAAATGTTACAAAATAAACCCGAAATACAAATGTCAGCGCGCGTTACCACGCGGATGTCACGACGGACTTACAAATGTTAAAACTAGCAACAAAAAAATTTAAACTACCGTTGTTTGGTACTAATATGTATTATAAACTAGCTTGACGCGCGGTATTACTGGCATTAAATTTATAGCCTATGTGTCATACTGATGTATTGACGACCTCGGTGGTCTAGTGGTCTAGCACACCGCTTTACGACAGATGGTCGCGGGTTCGATTCCTCGCACGGCACAAACATTCGTATTCACGAGTATGATTGTTTGTACCGGTCTGGGTGATTTCTATGTATAATATGTATGTATTTACAAAAAAATATATATGTATATGTATCAGTTATCTAGTACCCATAACACAAGCTTAGCTAGCTTAACTTGGGTCTAGATGGCGCTGTGTGAACTGTCCTGAGATTATTATTATTATTATTATAAGCTTTGTTATTGTAAAGTTTCATTGAAATTCAGTCAGTGGTTTTTACGGAAAAGATTAACAAATATCCTTCCATCCATCCATCTACAATCACAAAACTATAATATTAGTAAGATTCGAAAATAGATCTATCTGATCTGATCGATATAGCTGTTTATGACCAAACGGGTAAATGGCATTTCCTGAAATTTGGCATAACGATATATAGTATCAAGAAGACGAACAAAGGTTATCTGATATCTTAAGAAAACAGATAAAATCACTGGAATTAGAAAACACAATATAAAATTATGGTTTCAAATTATAAAATCTCTGAGAGACGAGCTTTTTAGCATTCCATGGATTCATCGCGCGGATGCAGAGTCCATCATGTGGCAGTAAGAGTTTCCGAACTGAACAGCAACTCCAAGTAGTTCCCGGATGTAGGTTTAAGAGGTCCCTAGCCGACGTACGTCGACATTCACCTTCATCGCTCGTGTTTCTATCCCTACCCAGATAAATCTGATAGAAGCCTGCTAGTGTTGCTTTAGATAGACATTCAAGTATAGAACTTGCTGCAGTTCTAGACAGGCCAAGAACTTTAAAATATTGCAGAGAGTATATATCTCTCTAGCTTTCACTTTTACGGCATATAAATATTGAAAATAGAAGTAAATTAGGTTAGATTATATTATCTGTGGTATAACCTAATTTATACAAAAATTTAAATTACTCGATAGCAAAATATAATGTAATCATAGCAAGTTGAATTGGAATGAGGGAAGCGAATCGTTTCCCCGCATTCGATTGTACAAGACAAGCAGACGTCTAATCTACATAATACCGACTACGCTTAAGTATCTGTCACACTTCTCAAGCGAAGCTAATGCTAAAATAAAGCTATAGACGAATTGTTAAATATTTGGAACAATTTCAAATATATCCATTAAATTTGTAGTGATCTTTCGTTGGACTATCTAGTGACAGTAGTTTTTAAACTGTTAACATCATTATACAGTCAACTGAGGACTGGCTTGTAAAACCTAGTCAAAACGTTTCTTTAAAAATTTATTCATTGTATTTAATAATACAATTTTTGAAATTATTAATAACGGTAATCAAGTTTAATAACTTGAATAACTTCATTAATAATTTCAAAATCATCTCAAACTTTGGTTCTGTTTACGATGTACACTTAATTCTGGATAGAGACAATCAGCAGTCGATTGTTAACAATTATGATAATAACAATAATCAGAATGTTTTAGAAATGCGTTGGTAAGTATTAAACAACAAGGGGAAATCTTACACATCTGTTTATAGTTTACACTTAACAAAGATTTTATATTAAAACTAATACTTTGTTTGTGTAGATCAATATGAAATTATGTTCCACCCAAGCAATCTGTATACACTGGTGGAGTACCAGTTAAGGATACAGCTGACTTCATGCCAATCCTTCTAGGATTAGGATGAAGTCAGCTCTATTAGCCTATCGTAGTGAAAATTCATTACTTAATAAACCACAATGCTTCACGGGCCTTTACTATCACTGTGCCAATTTTAGTAGTCGAATTTTATTTTTTTAATATAATTTTCATATAAACACTGATTGTTTCGATGTATGAATTTAGAATATATATTTGATAAATTTTGTAATTTAACGTGATATTGATGGCACCACCGTCGTAGCCAATACGCATAGGGTAAAGATGGGAAGGAAAAGGAAGTGGCAATCTGTGCAAGGCGGCCAAGTCGACCAGACGTTGAATACAAATTATTAGCCGCTTGTACAATTTAATTACGCAATTAATGTGGAGTGTAATTTGAAAATGAAGTAAAAATCAAATACCGCGCATCGACGTATCATAAACAAGCATATGGCTAAACTAGGCCTATGCACGACAAGAATCTGCAGATTCTGCCAAACTGAAGAGGAAACGCCGCTTCACATTCTATGTGGTTGTAGCCCACTCATGCATAAACGAAATATCTCCTTTGGAAAGTTTACACTCTTTATCGAGGAGATAAAAACCATCGCTCCTAAGAATATCCTTCAATTCTTGTCCCTGACGGGGCTAGGTAGCGAACTTTGAAAAAGGGCGAGCACAATAGATCTATGTAGGTCGCAGTGCTACAGGTGCTACAAACATCTGACAATAGCCCAAACAACCCAATAAAAAAAAATAAATCAAATCGACGCATCATTCTGAAAAGTCTCAATGATACATTTTTCGTTATTCAAAAACCCAAAAAGATATTCATCGCATCGCTTTGACAGTGCAGTCCGTTCATAATACACATAAAGATTCCGTTGCCTTAATCCTGATAATGGACGAAGATTCGACAGAGCGAATTGAGATTTGTAACAGATTCTCCTTCAATCAACAATTGATCGTTTGTTGACAATGGAACTTAATATTTTTTAAGATCTATTATCAATATATGATATTAAGTATCTACATTTTTATGGTATAGATATAAGCTATTCAGCTTTACGTTTATCATGATATATAATGTACTCGACATTGTGATGAGCGTGGCACCCTTTCTTTTTGTTTCTTCTTCAAATCAAAGGGGAGACGAGGGGATGTACTCGATTCTTTACATGGTATATAATGTACTCGACATTGTGATGAGCGTGGCACTTTTTTTATCGTGTGGCAAAATCTTCAAAAGACCGTCCCCCCGTCAGAGGGGAGATAAGGGGATATGCGGGATTCTTACCAAAAACACACGGTGTAGGTAGTAGGGCCATTGCCGGAGTCGCGAAGTCGCGTTGACATTCTACCGCTCTCTAGTGACGAGCGTGGTACCCTTAATGCATTCATTGCCATATCAGTAGGTATGCCATATCAGTAGCTACACCTGGTATAATTTCACTTTCTTACAGAGAATACTGCTGCCAAAAATAGGTTTAACATGTATAACCCTACACTTGACTTTGTAAAGTTGTAAAGTTGTAAAGTTGAGTTTTAAA